GCCATTACTTGGAGTCCTGTGGTATGCTGAACTGGCAGTAAAACTTTAGCTGCTTTGTCTTTCTAACACTATAATTTTCTTCTCAGACTTGAAGAAGGAAATGGAGCCACAGTATTATTCTCATCATTAACTTGGATGTTCTATTTATCTGTTTTGTTACAAGAGTTAATAATTTTCATGAGATCTTGATTGTTTTCCAGGAACAGGCAAATTATACTGCAGCAGACCACGTTTCTCCACTAAAAAGAAATAGCATGTATCTAAGATAGATGGCTTTGTCTGTATTGGCTGATTTTGAAGCATTTGTGACCATAGTCTATGGTGTGCGTGTGAATGTGGAAAGTGTTTGTTGTTCCATGCCCCCATTCCCTCCTCAGATGTGAGAGAATGCTATAATTTTGATTTTCCTTGTCATTATAATCAGGAATCAGGCATGAGGTCAGATGTGGAATGATGCTTCCCAGTAGAAGAGCGAGGGTGGATTCTGGGCAGTCTAAAGAAGTATAGATGGAGGAAACAGGCAGTGTTCCTGTAATGAAAACTCTGTATTGATAGGAACTGTCAAAATTGCTCTTGCCTTGTTTCAAGTGGAAGGGATTTCTGGTGATAAGACTATTCTGTTTGCCTGGAATTTTAAAGTTTGATTTATTAATTTTCCATTCATAATTCAAGTTCAGTTCGACCTGTATAAAATGAATGTGCTCTAGAGTGTCCTCTAAAAGGTAGCATTCCGATAGTGAGATGCATGTACTGTGTTTGTTACTTTGAATATGGAACAGCTACATGACTTTTCATATGCATGTGTGCCAGGTTCCATGACTTCAGTTTATAGTGCTCAAGCCACATCAGAAAGAGCAAGATCTTTTCCTCTTTTTGCATTGTTTTGCACTTTGATTTCACTGGCTGGTGTATTTGGGAGGAGATTTTGTTGTTCCTTTCACCCTATCCTAATTTCTCTTCTTTCATAGTCTTATTGCAGTGTTCTGAGCTGCTATTCTGTTTTCTGGTTTGGGGGGGGGGGCAGGGGGATCCCTCCTTTGAAAGATTGTGTGACTATACGTGTTATAGTAACTTCTTGGCTGCCTCAAGTAGTGACTGCCTATGAATGGCTTGTTTACACTTAGGCTGAAATACGAGGAGGGAGCTCAGAGGCAGATGTTATCATTAGTCTGCACCAGACCGTCAGAGATGAATCTGAGCCACCAATTTGACTTCTATCCCCTTGTTAGAAGCAGAGAGAACACTGTTACCTGTTGGCAGTACCTGGAGGTGTACTTGGGAAGAGAGTTACTGTAGCAGGAGTCCAGCTCCCAAGCCCAAAACAGTGGGTGTGCAAGTCTAGCAGGGATAATTTAAGATATAACTGACTGCGCTTGTGGGGATTTTTATTCACCTTGGTGGTGTTTGTCGTTTGGCTTTGTTTCTTCTCCTAAGGGAAACTAAAATATTATCACCTTAAAGGACCCTTCCATCTTGCCAAAGAAGTAAAAGTGCTATGTGGAAACAGAGACCCATAACTCCTTGGCATGTGGGAGAAAAGCATGTAGGGCTGTGTATTGCTCTGATAGGAAACAGATATAGGTGCAATATGTGGAGTCTCTTGGACTTCTGGTGGGAAGGAGTGGGGAAGATAAATGACAGATGCACTTGACCTAAGCTATAGAAGGTGCTAAGTATGAAGTTTTTAAAAGTGAGTGTCTCGGACCTCTGATGTTTGCTACAGATTGGGCA